GTTTACTGCAAAGAGGAGTTTTACCCAAATGGGTGTAAAAATATGGTAATTAAAAGACGATGGGGCCATTGTTCTGGGTACATAAGAATGTGTTTCAATAGCTACACTTTTCTGGATGAAATAGTTTTTTTTTTTTTTTTTTTTTTTTTTGTAATGTATTACGGTAGTAAGCTTTGATGAGTGATTTAGACCCTAACATAATCATTTCACCTGAAAAACATTTCAATTGGTTTGTAAGTGAATTTAATTTAAGTTACAGAATGTTTTTATATACATTGTAGCTTTTCTTTATTAATATTTTACTACTCTGAATTTCAAGCTTATATAGAGCTGATTCAATAGTTAATAATTCATCTATTAAATTAACATACATTGCTAGTATAATTAATCTATTTAATCGATAAGAAGTTTAATATTGAGAAACTTTTATAACTAGAGTAAAATCTTTGTAACTAGATGTGACGAACAAAAGAATGTATAATATTTATTTTTTTATAATCAATTAAATGTTAAAATAATTTAAAACTGAATTGTTTTCGTATAATTCCCATGCATTCACCATGAAAATTCATTTCCTCATCGATTTGCGTTTTTCATATCTTAAATAGAGATTCATTTGCTTTTTGGTAGAGATAAAAGATTAGATTAATATTTGATTGCTTGGCTTAAAAAAAAAGAAGTTCTTATAGAATACTATTAATATTTCAGAGCCCCAAAGTTAAATTTGTTTACTTTTAAAATCTCCCTCCCTTACAGCATAACCATTTCCATTACCATAAGGTACATTTTCCGAGAATCATCAATCATCACGATCACATTTCCAAATATCCATCTGAGCTTTTGAAGGTGATTCCAAAATGTTCGATACATCCCAGCGGTGTGCGCTTCCAAATGTATCGTACCTTATATTACGACGTCAGTAGGGAAGCAGCCATCCATAAATATAAATCATGTATTGTAAATGGAATATATTTAAGTGTAACACATATGTATCCCAGTGGTGGCGTTTCGCAAGAGGCATTCATAATTCACCGTAGAAGGAGATTCATGGGTTTCCCACTCCTGGGGAGCCAAGCCAATGGATCCAATCAAAGTGTACGCGACTCCGGCAGTCCAAAAAAGCATTTGGCCAAACTACCAAAGCCATACCATGATGATAATCCTCCCTCCTCCGAGTATTCTTTTTTTTACCCTTAATTTGAAATATTCATGGCCCCAGCGCGTCCATACAGCTCTTTTTTTGCGTTTCACCCTCTCCCCTTTGCCACTAGCTACTCCCACTTTCGGCGTCTCTTCTCCCTCCTACGATCGTGACCTCGTTTCCTTCGCAGTATGCGCTTTCGCGCAGAGAGTAGCACTACGCTCGCGCAAAAGAAATATCGAAAATGGATATTGCCCGATACTATATAATGCATTAAAGGGTGCATGTGCAGTGGTATTAAGGGTGGTGGTGGTGCACTGCCGGTCACGTGTACGTACGCGCGTAGATTCGGTCGGAGGGTGGCTGGCACAAAACTCCGCAGCTGCGATAATAGATTTATGGATTTTAAGGCGATTAAACCTCTGAAAACGCGCTTTTTCTCTTTCGACCTGTTTCTCCCCTCTTTTGCTCCTTTTGCTTTTGTCGTCGTCTTTCGACTCGCGACGATGAAATATTTTCTTATCGGTGAATAATTCGGCCTCTAAATAAGGAAAAAAGCGATGCTGACGCTTTGTGTACGGCCCAGCCCTTTTTCTTCCTCCCTTTTTTCCCTCAATCTTGGCTTTTCGCATTTTTTATCCCCAAGCGCCACAATGCGGTGCAGTAAAGTAGTGTTCGGCTCTGCGGGTCGTGCTACTAAAGGATTTAGAGTCCATACGTAAACTATAGTCACACTGTTTACAAGCTTTTGTTTAATTTTTTTTGTCGTAACGTTGTTGTTCATGTTATTGTTAATTTACTTACACAGAAAAAATCTTTAGTCAAATTTTACCGAAGACACGTACCAGTTATAAAAAATATTGTGTCATCAAAATTATTTTTTTTCTCAAGTATAACAGTATGGTACAAAGCTTTGGTATGAGCTATCGATCTATCTCTCTAATTGTCAATTTTTTGAAACCAAACTACATTGTTGCTCACTGTAGCGATGGAATTTTGACAGTGAGTACAAATAATGACTATTTTTTTTCAAGTTAATTTTACTGACAATATCTGGCAGCTCATGTCTCTGTAAAAAAGCTTTTTTCGGATGCGTAGACTCTCGTCTCAACCAACTGATCGATACCAATCCACATTAAAATTGACTTACATGAATCTCATTTAGAAATCGTAAAAAAAAAACACGTTATCAGCGCTCAGTTGCATTTCTTGCCACTAGAAATTGTCACAACATGAAATATTAAAAAACAAACCGTCAAACCTTAAAATACCAATAGCAGCGAAAGAAAGTCATTCAAGTCCTGCCAGCCTCGTGATAACAGCCCGTCACGTACAAAATACATTATTCAGGCATCTCGCACAATGTCAATACAGTATGGATTTTGGCCATTTCCTTACTCAGTGACCCGTAAATTCACCCTCCATCCCCTTCGAGATGGATACTTCCTATTGATGCTGCTTCGGTTACTCTATAAGCCATGAACTAAGTGGTAATCTCAAAAGTTACTTTTAGCCGAAAATTCAAATTGCATGATGTTGAGGACGGGTTGTAATTTGTCAATAATTTTTATGCAGAAAATATACTGGGTACAGGAATAAAGATGGGAATGGGTTTTTGGAGTGTACGAGGTGAGATTGAGAAAGTTCTAGTCGGAGCTAAATAGAGTCGTTGATTAAACTGTGTATTTCGGGCATTTTGACGCTCGGCAGAGCCTTTTGAGGTAAAACAACGTGTAATGCGGTTAGGGAGTTGATTCAAATGTACACAGAATGTAATTACGCGCTCTGTATTTCATTAAAAATTTCATCTCGCGTTTTGGTGTGTGAGTGCTGTTCCCATAAATGCTTTTCTTTACCTACAATTTATCCTCTTACAGTTTTAAAATAAAAAAAAAGATACGCATTATAAAGCACACTTTTAAATGATGAATTATTAAAAGGAGCGAGTGCACCATTTTCGTATGGTAAAACCCAATTAGCGGCTAACTCGAGACTCTGCGAGTGTTACGTGCTCGTAAATTTGGTGGATTCTCGATTACCTCGAGTTCGTATAAATGAGGTCTCTTTCCGTGAGAACGTAACTCTATCTCTCACATGGCTACTACTTGCATTAAAACCTAAATTACCTCTTACACTCAAAACTTACACACTCTTACACTTAAACAGTACACACTGTATTTTTTTCTAAATTAAAGTACAAAATTTTTCATCCCTCAAATAATAAACATTTCGCTCCTTGCAAAAATAGATTGGCACAAAAATATTTTTCTTTTCGCCTTCCTCGTAAGAAAACAAAGTGCACAAGGCTTTGGGAAAACCTTGAATGCGAAGAGCATACTCTCGAAACGCTCGATGCGGAGCTCTGTCCCCAATCCCTTCCCACCAACATACACGACGCATTCGACGCGCGGGCCATAAATATTGTGAGGCACGCTTGCGCACGGAGCGCAAAATTAAAACTCACTCTCTCGGTGCCACATTCAAAGGTACCGCGTAGAAAAATGAGAAAAAAATAATAAAAATACACATTCCCCTTCGTTCGCGAGTCCTCTTTGTAGCGCGTACATCATAATGTACACGCTCTCAGTCGCAGGAAGAGAAAATTTGCATGAAACGTGCGCGTATTCCTTTTCCTTCTTAATCACTCGGCGTCCACCCGGCCAGCTTAGGCGCGGGCATTTGAAATTTTTTCCCTTTCCCTCTCGGTGGCACTTAGTCTTCATTTTCCAGTGTAACCGTGCTCTGTATGCATTTTGTATGCAGCGTGGATTTTGAGCTAGCCACCGTGTGCCATAAAGCCCCCACTAGCGCCACTCCATCCTGGATGCCTGGGAAAAAATTGCAGCAGGAGGAAAACACAAAAATGACCCAGCACTTGTATAGCAGGGAGGACGCAAAGGAGGCCGCGCAAAAAAGTGGAGCGAGTGTAAAGCGAGCAAGGGGGTAGGGGGGAGGTAGATGTGGTTTTATTAAAAACATATCTTATTCCATTGAAGTGCAGCTGCTCTGGCGCGCGGGCAGGCATCAGTCCTCCTCTTTCTGCTCCTTCCCGGTGTGGTGGTATCGCGTGTACGCCGAATGCCTTTTATTTCTTAATAAAGTCCGCTCTCTTTTATTTGCTCCTGGCTCGGGAAGACGTGCACTAAGCTCGTGTCGAGAAATGAAAAGGAGAAGAGGAGGCTGGTGCGAGAGATTCGGTTGTCAACTCGTCCGGGCTCGTGTTTTCGATGACAATCTGTTTTTTCATTTCAGTTCTTCCTTTTTTTTTTTTTTTTTTTTTTCAGTATACGTGTGTTTTTGGTTCTTTATTAAATTTTCCAAGGAGATAAATTTGTGCGGAGTTGCCATCCTAAAGAGCTATTGAGTGTCACGTGCTTGAAAATAAATAAACGAAAAAAGTTTAATTTATTCTTAGAAATAATAAATTATTTTCCAAGTGGTGTAAAGGTAAGCATCAGCTGGCACGAGAACTTCAAGAATCTGGTATTTTTCAAATAATTTTTCTCACCACGTAGCTTGTCATGAGTATATGATAAAAAACAGCTTGAATAAAAGGAGTGTTTTACATGTTCATCAGTTGTGCTGGTGATACATTTCAACCTTCGTATCAGAATATGTATCGGATTCACGATACTTGAAATGAAATCTGTTAACCATAAATGATTGTACATTTGATTACATATTCTACTAATGAAAATCGTCGTTAAAATCAAGGTGTCTTAATAAATTTATACATTCTAAACACGTGCGTGAAATAAATAAAAAAAAATTACATTATGTCTTTTAATTGTCGTGAAAGTTGGGAAAATAAGAGCACTACAACACTTGATTAGAACTGTATTTTTTATTTCTTTTTTATAAAAAATAATGTCTGATGCCGTCAATAAATTAAAAACCATATACTAAAAAAGCGTGATTCTACGATAACTGGGGTATTATACAGCCTGAAAAGTTAAATTTTTCTTGTTCCAAAATGCTTCGTAGGTACTTCTCAAATGTATTTTCAATAAGAGGTGCTACTTGAAATTCTAAAACGCTATTTATCCACGTCCTTAGGAAGGGGTCAATATACGATTGGTTTTCAGAGTCCAAATATCTAAAATTACATCAAAGAGTGAGATTAAATGATAATAAGTTTATTTGCATCTAAAGTATACCATTACAGTGATATCTTACATAAAGTCCACAATTTTGAATTCAAGCAAGTTTAAGTCTACCTTGTCACCCTTTAATCGTCTTAGGGACAAAGTTAAATAAGATCCTTCAGTCTTATAATGCTCTATGATATTAACAGATCTAGTTTCTTTCTGCCCGTACTTTAAATTGGCATGTTTATACTCGAACTGTGATAAAGACAATCAAAATTATATAAGAAGAGTATAGATCGTAAAAATTATCTGGTAAAAATTTTTTACTTCTTACTGTTAGGTCTGCGAAATCAACTGGAACATAAAGCACCACAAGATCATTTTCTAAAGTAACGCAAGGGCTTTTTTTACGTAATAAAAAATTATACCCTGTTAGAAAATTTTTGCTGGCTTTGAAAGATTTTTTGTCATCTTTCTTAAAATTTAATATGACGGAAATGTTTGGAAGAATTATTGTAGGTTTTTTGGTCACAAGTAACAGATTAGTTGAGTCAATTATTTCATCTACGAGTTTATCGACGACTAACTTCATTTTATCTGTATGATCCCTACAATAGAAAATTTTCTGAAAAGAACTTTACATCATCATGAGTCAGAAAAAGTAATTTATGACATATACCTAAACATATCTCTGTAGGGAAAAGAATTGAATGATGCACTGACAGACATCATATCAAAAGCAGTCCTCAATTTTTTTTCTATTTTATCGATTGTTTTTTTGGTGCAGCTTTGCACAATATACTGTGCAAGTGAATGTTCTGACAAAATATAATGAACTTAAGTAAAACTCATATCTATTTTAATTTTTCATTGTTAATATGACTTACTTATGTGCTGATCTTGTATTTTACTGTAGACAGGAACCATTTCAGTATCTTGTTTGTACATTAGTGATATGCTCGCATGTAAGAATTCATGTATAACGTTGTACACGCAGTAATTATCTTGAGCAATGTACAAACTTATGACTGACTTTACTTTTACTTTCGTCAAATGAAGCCTGTAACATTTAACTTTGATGAAAATGTGATTCTCCAGTTGTAAAAATGTATTTTATATCCACACACTTGTACGTAGATTCCAGAGCTTTGCGTAATACACTACACATACGAATTGTGCCATTGATTTTTATGTCAGGCAGTTTAAATATGAATGCCATAGCTAGCATTTTCAGATTTCCAATGCTTGATATCAAAGATGAAAATGGTTCTTCTTCCATGGTAGAGTTTACTAATTCTCTAGAAAAAGATAAATTTTTATGATTTTCTCACTTGTGTATTTTTTGTGAAACATTATGGTCCTCACATATGGTCGAATCCTAATTTAAATCGTAAATCATCTAACTTTAGGTCGTCTTTGGTATCTGATTTTCCGGAAAATAACGTCCCATTCCAGTGCTGTCTAGACAAATGAAACGTTTCCGTATATACTATAATTATCTTAAACGTTAGAGTTTAAAATAGCTGCAGTAGTAATGACTGTAGTTAAAAGTGTCTTTATTAATAAACCTTATGTATTGTGTTTGATGGTTACAAAAAATTTTTTAACTGTACACGTTCCAGACATTATAAATACCTGTTACATTGTAAGAAGGTCTTTGTGAGAGATGCGTTTGATAAGATAAAGAAATATTGGAAACGATATCAAAGTATAAAAAATAATATTGTATCTTTACATTTTTACAATAGAAATAACTTACGTACTTAATTGGTTCTATACATATAGTGTTTGCACGTTCTATCATCTGCTCTAACATCTCGTTGTTTAACGCTAAACGTGAAAAAATAAAACATTCATTTTTAATGTCCATTTAGAGCGATAGTAATAGACCATGTCTCTATTTACTTTCAAAAACCTCCATAATTTAATCTTGAGAAGGCCACATTCGTTGGATCAATTAAATAAGTGTAAATACTAAAGATAATCTTTATTTCCGTAGAACTTTTATACACACGTTTACTGAGTTGATAAATGATTTCATTGTACCAGATATGACTAAATTTTTTTAACTCCCCTCGAACTTATTTTTAATATCTCTGCATGAGAGACACTAATGTTTCACATAATCCATTGGGTAATAATGAATACTATTTGTTAGTTATTGTATATTAACCATACTAAAAGTAACATAACCACAAAACAATTATAGCAGTGTATAGAAGCAATTATATTAATGTCCACGTTGATACTGAAGTTGCGAGTTGCGAGTGAGTCGTCAGTTAACTGTATCTTATCTTTTCTGTTTCGATCATCTAGGTATCGATTGTTATCTTAATAAAACGCAAAACAGATAAATGCTTTCCATTGAAATTATTGAAACTCTGCAAGTGTAAGAAAAAAAATTAAGATGTCTAAGACTTATATACCTGAATGTTTTTAGTTCAGCATGAATTTGAGATACAGTACTCAAAATATTAACTGTTACTAGCTCCAACTTAGTTACGTAGCAATTGCAATGTTATCAAACTATATTATGTTCAACATTTTTAATTCTCATTGAGCCCTGTAATAAAACTTGTGCTAAATATTTAAGTTTTATGCGTTGCACTTCTAAATTGACCATCTAAGACTGTAAACTTGGAGGTAAAGTTAAATGATCTTTTGATTCGTTCAACTTTGACGTGCATATTTAATAATTGAACCTTCAAAAATTAATTTGCTGTTTGATAATATCTTGTAGTACTTAAGAAAATTAACGATTTATTTTTTAGAACTTTTTTCTTGATCGTTATTGAACAATCAAGTTACTACAATTTTTTGTTGAGACAAAATTGATGTAAAAGAATGCATAAAAGCTTCAGAATCATAAACACTGACGTATCATAATTATTTTTTAAATTAAAATCAATTTAAAACTTCAAAATTTTCGATATAGTACTGACATCGTGAAACAATTCGTTTTTTTATTTGTAATAAATGTAAAGTATTTATTTTCATTTCATAGTTATTTGTAACGATAGTTTAATAAATATACCTACTTACTTTGAAGTAATGGATCTA